CTTATTTCATATAAAAGTCCCAAAAGCTCTTTAGGACAACTATCATGAACCCATTAAGTCTTATCTAGTCCCTTCAACCCCTCTAAGTATAGTATAGTTTCCAGTCCTCTCACCATCCCAGTTTTCTTCTTCTGAGAATAATTTTTATCAATGCTCTCCTCAACTGTGCCACCCATAATTGAACATCAAAATATAGATATGGTCTAGCCAGGACAGGACTATTACCTCTCTTATTCTGGATACTATTTCTATCAATGCAGCTTAAAATCATATGATGTTTATTGACTCACATGGAACTTTTGGCCCATTAAACCTTCCAGTTCTTTTTTCTTCTTCTAATGAATTGGTATCTAGCTATGTCTCAGCAATTCTGTACTTATGTGATTGAAATTTTGAACCTATGTATAGGATTTTATATTTATCTTTGTTACATTTCATCTTACTTATTAGATTGTTTTAATCTGTTGAGATCTTTCTGGGACTTCATTCTGTCATCTACCATGTTAGCTATTCTTCCCATCTTTGGTCACCCACATATTTCTGAATGTCAATTAAAAATTTTCTTAATAATATATTCTAGAACTTTGCAATGAAAAGAAATCAAACTCAGTAGTCTATAGTTGGAAGAATATATCTTTTATCTTTTTTGAAAATTAAGACAACATTTACCTATCTGCTGTCATAGTATATCATAGGATTATGGAGTTGGAGACAGAGAGTAACTCAGACATCATTTAGTCCAACACTCTCATCTTACATAGAGGAAATAGAGGCCAAGAAAGATAAAACATCTCCCCAAATTTACCCAGTAACACAGTAGCAGAGATAGGATTTGAACTTGGGTTCTTTTATTCTGACTAATGCCATAACACCAAGTACTTTCCTCTGTGCTAAGTCTTGTATCACCTCCATCATCCTCTATCATCTTTCAGAGATCAGTGACAGTAGCATAGCAATGATATTTATGGTTTTCAGTACCTTGAGATGTGAGTTTTCTTGTTTTGGTGACAACCTCATTAAAGGTAGTTAGGTGTTTTTAGCTTCATGCCACTAGGATTCAATTCCTGTTAACCATTTTTTTCTACCCTTCCAAGTCTTAATCTTGCTTTTCTTGATAGAGAAATCAGAAAGAAAATAAGAGTTGAGTAGTTCTGCCTTCCCTCTTTCACTGTTCTTATTGGTCCATCCACCTTATATAAGTCATTTCTTTTCTTTGACTTCTCTTATCCACAAAATAGCTTTACAAAACTGGTTTCACAGGCCTTAATATTGCCTGTCAACTGAGTTTTATTGCTCCTGGCACTATTTTTAGATGACTTGCCATACTCTGAAAATAGATGCCTAAGCAAAAACTCTAGAATCATGATATGCTTAATATTTTTTTAATTTCCTTCCTTAATAATTAATCCTCTGTTTTCGCAGAGAACGTACTTTGTAAAGGGATTTGTTTTTCATGTTTCTTGGCAGTATCTGTTGTGTCAAAACAAAATACATCAGTAAGTTTTTAAAGAATTAAATTTGGAATTTTAAAAAATCACCAAAAGGGGGTGGGAAGGAGACAAGCCAGCTTCTATCTGCATGAGTGCTCTGCCAAAGGAGATTTGCAATCCATGTAACAAATCTGCTATACACCTCAGAAATTTGTTACGAGGAAACGTCTTTCTATATCTTATAGTGCTATCTACTGGTGATGTTATTTGTTCAAAAAAAGGAGAATGTAGGGCTAAGGACTATCCCTAACCATTCTTAGAATTCTCTCCCTCCTTATCTCTGCCTCCTGGCTTCTCTGTCTTTGTTCAAGTCTCATCTAAAACCTCAGCTTCTGTAAGAAGTCTTTCCTAGCACCCTTAATGCTAATGCCTCCCTTTAAGTACTCTATTGCTTTCTCCTGCCCCTATGACCTTCCCTTTTTTTACACATACAGTCAATCACTGTCTCTTTTTTTGCAACCCTATCACCGCCAAATAACCAATGGGGGAAAAAAGGAAAAAGAAAACTCTTGTAACAAATATGCATAGTCATGTAAAACAAACCCCCATATTGGCCATGTCCAAAAATTTATGCTCATAATGACCTTGAATCAATAACCTTTGGACAGCATGCTTCATCATTGGTCCTTTGGAACTGTGGTTGGTAATTGGGATGATCAGAGTTCTTAAGTCTTTTACAACGTTGAACATCTTTCACGAATTGTTCTCTGGGTTTTTCTCCCTTCTCTTTATACTAGTCCCCTGAAAAAAAGTCAGAAATGGGGGGAAAAAGAGAAGATGAGTGCTGGGGGGGGGAGGGGTACAAAGGGGAGAGAAGGAGAATGTCAAAGCCTGATTGAACAGGGCTTCCCCCACCCCCTCTGGATCTGTCCACGGTGCTGAACATGTCTACAATCTTCCTGTAAAGACCAGATGAATCTTCCTTGGCAGATGAAAATTTCAGTTTCCCCTAAGGGACTGAATTTATTCCCTAAAATGAGGCTTAAGACTCTCTTGTTTCACCAGTTATGGGAAACTCCATTTTTCTCTTTGCTAAGTTTCTAAAGGCATAAATTTTGGAAATTCATCTCTTGGGCATTTAAAAGAGAACAGTGAGTACAATCCACACTAAAACTCAGAATAACAGATGGCAAGTCTTAAATATTGAAAATGGTGATAAAGAGGTGAGGTCATATTTTTTCAAGAACTTTGAGTGACTGTGTAAAAGTGACTCACCATCATATAAGAGATAAAATGAGTATGGAATGGGGTCCAGGCAATTGACATCAGACACACACACAAATTTTTTTTTAATAAATCAAGATTCCAGAAGAGGAAACGGTTGAATGATTCTGACTTGATCCCAGCCCAAGAGCTCTCAGGCCCTGAATCTCAGAGCTACGACTATTATTCAGTTTCTCTCATACTATAAATGATACATAAAATAAATGGGGTGGCAATGAAGACAATAATAGACATTGATAAATCTCATTTGGTTAAAGGAATTACACATCTTTTTGATACTACTCACAGAATATATCAAAATTCTCTACTCATACCCAGTGCTCAAATTTCCTTCATTTAGTAAGGAATTGGAAACAACATATCTGGCACAATTAATTGCATATGTGATAGCAAAGAACAGTCAGGTAAGGCTGCTGTATACACAGATCTCTACATTTCCTCTTCTCTCCTCTTTTCTCCTTACGCACTTTGTTCCATGCTAAATATGGAATATTTCATACAACATAGGGAGTAGGAAAACTTGGCCCAGATATGCACACAGATACATGCCCATAGCTTTAAGTTATTTTGGTAACTTGATTTCAAGGTACACATCTCCTTTCTGTGTTTAAAATACTTTGGGGGGGGTGGAGGGGGCAGGAAATGATTTATATTTTCCTTAGCAAAACAGTTTGTCTTACATAAGCCCAAAGACTACAAGAAGGGATTTGAACACTACAACATTCCTCTACATCCCAATGTCAAATACTTTCTGTGAAGCTCCTTTTCCTTATAGTGATAGTGTAAAAATCAGAAAACAAACTAGAAAATGAGGATTACTTAAAAGTATATGATGAATTTATTAACAATTGTATTTGGATTCTCAAAATAAATGACTTCCATTCCCATTACTGATAGAAATTTAGGAAAAAGCACAATGAAGAGATGATGGAGTTTCTGTGACTGAAATTTATAGCAAACCAGGTAACTCAAAATATATTGTACCCAGTTTCTTAGTCTGAAATCTTTTAAGGTAAGTTATTGATTTTGATTTTTAAAAGTTTATCAACCACATAAATAATTACTATCTTAGTCTTAAAACCCATCTAACTATAACAGCTATATCTATTAGAAATTTCAACTTAAAAACATATGATCATAGTCAAAAAGAAACTTAGGGATCATTGAGTACACGCCTCTCATTTTACAAGCAAGGAAAATGAGGCCCCAGAGAGGTTGTAAAATATCTAAGGTCACACTGATACTTAGTGGCAGGGTCAGGATTGATCCTAGGTCCATTGACTCCAAATCTAGCACTTTTTTCCACAGCTCTGTGTTGCCTCTTTCCTAAGTCAGCACGAGGCCCTGGAGGGTAGGAGTCCCAATTAATTGGAGAAATGAATAAATGAGCACACATCAACACATGATTACCATTTCCTAGAAAAGTTTAATCAATTATCATAAAAAGGAGACCAAAAGAGTCTAGACTTTGCCTTGCCAGCAAATACTTGTTCTCCATGCCAAGCAAAGAGATAGAACAATCTAGGACAACACTGGGTCAAAATATAAATTCATTCATAAAATGTTTTAAAGGAGATTGGTGGAAAATCATGAGCAGTATGACCTAATAAAAGAACAATAATCAGTGGAGAAAAAAAATAAATATACAGAAAGTTTGGCAAGAGAACAAAACAATTAAAAATGATCCTGAGAACATTAAAAAAAATAAAAGTGGAAGAAAAACAAACAGAAGAAAATAGGAAAAATCCATAGGGACTTTTACAATATACTTTTTTTCTCCATCACTTGCACAGGAACAGTATACCACCTTTGGATTAATATATGATTTATTGAAAGATACAGCAATAGAGATAACTTCGACAGTTCTGTGATTGGTAATATCAAGTGATGCATAAAACAAAGAGATGTGGGGGGCAGCTAGGTGGCGCAGTGGATAGAGCACCAGCCCTGGATTCAGGAGGACCTGAGTTCAAATCCAGTCTCAGACACATAACACTTACTAGCTGTGTGACCCTGGGCAAGTCACTTAACCCCATTGCCTAACCAAACCAAAACAAAACAAAGAGATGTATACTTGCCAAAGGAGTTTGCTACTACAATAGAAGATGTTCAGCACAGGCTTCAAATGAAAGAGGGATTTCCTATATATGTTAAGGTCCTCCAGATGCACTTGCTTGTGGGCAGCATTGTACTAACTGCATCAAGCCCAACAGATCCCCAAGATCTCTTATCATTCATAAATGAGATCAATAATCACTCAAAATAATTCTGCTTAAATATTCACAGGGAAAATACCAAGTGGATGAAGAATGCCTATATGCAGTTAAATGGACGACCTAAAGAGCTCATCCTTCAGTCGATATATCTTGGACAAACATCTTTAATGGGCCTTGAGCTGGACCTAGAATTGAATATGAGGAGGAGGGTAGACTGTATTGAATTTGGGAAACCATTCAGTACTTTAAATGATGCAAATGAATCAAAGGTCCATTGTTTTAACAATAATATTCTTCTAGTATGGTGGAATTTTACAGTCTCTGATTTAAGTGTTCTGTCACTCAGAAGGCAATGGAAAAGCATGTGATGGGTGTGAGTAGGATAGAATATAGTAGGACAGGCAAGTAGTACGGATTTATAGCATTACTCTGCAATAGAAAAGAACTTTGGGCTGCTAGAGAGTAAAATAGTCAACTCTTCTGGTAAGTCTTATCTCCCAGGGATTTATACAGTCTTTATAGACCAACTAATACTACTGTGTTAAGTACTATTTCACTTAGGAGAAAGTACTTGGGGTCAACTTACTCTCCTGAACCTACTCAACTCACATAACTGGGTATTATTAAAGTACCAATTCTGAGTTTGTGCCTCCACATTAGGTTCTGTCCCTTGCTGTTCCTTGGCTTATTTCCTTCTTGGTCCAGGAACTCTTCCTCTTGCTCCAGGACTTCTCCATTGGATCAAGAAGTTGAGTGCAGAATCTTCTACACTGGATCCAGAATGTATAGAGACTTTCTTTGCATCCCCAGTGCTTAGTACAGTGCCTGATACCTGGTAGTGCTTGCTCATTGATTTGGGGCCATCACCAGTTGTCTTGCCACTGGTATCCAATGACTCTGGAGGAGAGAGTGAGGCTGGTGACTTTGCACAGCTCTGCCTCACTTAGATCCAGTTCACTTGAAAGTTAAGATATCGCCTTTATGATGCAATTGGTCCTCTTTGAGAACAAAGGACATCACACAAATCTGTGAGGAGGAGTAGCTGCTCCATGGTGACCCAACTGGAAAATTTGAGTTGGTCAATGCTGCTCTTATTTCTTCTTCTTCTTTCCTTCTTCTCTTCCTTCTCTTCCATCTCCTCTTCCTCCTCTTTCATCTTCTCCTCCTTCTCCCTCTGCTCATGTCGGGAGTCATACCCTTACAGGTGGGTTATCTATCCAAAAGAATATAATTTTTGATTGCTTATACTTTGCAAGGTATCTTGGGATTTGGGGACTAGATTTATTCCCCACCCCATTTATTTATTTTGTAATTATTTTTTCAAAAAACTGGAACAATTAACTCTTTTTGTCTCATATAGTTTTTTTTATTTTTTTGGTGAGGCAGTTGGGGCTAAGTGACTTGCCCACAGTCACACAGCTAGTGAGTGTTAGGTGTCTGAGGCCAGATTTGAATTCAAGTCCTCCTGACTCCAGGGCTGGTGCTCTATCCACTGCACCACCTAGCTGCCCCTCTCAAGTAGTTTCCATTTATGAATTCTTGAAATACAGCTCTGAAAAGACAGGTTTTGAAAAAGCCCATTGTGATTCAAAAGACACTACCTGACTATGCCTTTAAACTCAAATCACTTTCGCTTTCATTGATGGGCCAATAATAGGTCCCAGCCCAAGCCTCTCTTACTCATTGTTTGGGTTTTGATGGCTCAGTGAGTGTGAATAGCAACTGTTTTCTGTTCTGGCCAGAAACTCAGAGTTTTTCTCTCCCAGATTGATTCTTTTGTGTTAGCAAACTAGGCCATCTGTCATCTCAATTCTTACCTAGCCCTTAATCACCTTGCCTCAGAAAAACTGAGACTTGGGAAAGACCTCAGTTTAAAAAGGCCAAGGTCATTCACTGTGTCCTGGGCCATTGCCAGTCATCTTGACTTATGTCTTGCCACTGGACTCTGAAGACTCTGGAGGAGAGAGTGAGGCTGATGACTTTGCACAGCTCTGCCTCACTTAAATCTAATTCACTCATAAGTCAAGAAATTATCACTTCTATGATTTCACTGGTCCTCTTCAAGAATGAAGGACGCAGAACAAAAACAACAACAAGAAGGTATAGTGTTATTACTATTCAACCCTACACCCAAAGGCAACCAAATAGACATCTGCAACTACCAAATGATAAATCTCATTTCTAATAAATCTGTAAATTTGTTAGGAATGATCTATGAGAATAATCATATGAGTTTAACCTTGATGAAAACATGGAAACTGAATGGACAGGCTTCCATTAGTGATTTTTGACAGCAAACCATATCTTTATAGTTAAGTAGTTGATTGGGAGGAATAAATATATGCCACACACACACACACACACACACACACACACACGAACATGATGCCACTGTATTTGTTTATTTTCAAAAAAGCATTTGATTGGATAGAACAAAATATAACTTTATAGGCTCTCCTCAAGTAAAGTATCTCTCATATTTCTTAAAATTAAAAAAGATTCTTGCAAATACAGCTACAAAGATAATTTTGTTCAACAATCTGCACATTATTGCAGGCAATGTAAACATCAGTCTATGTAAAAAACAGGAAGATAATGCAAATCAAAGATTTTCACCAGTGTCATCATGGATGTCCTATATGTCATTCAAATAGAAGACGGATTTCATGAGATTCTCTGGATGTTCCTGTTATGGGTGAAATTGTGCTAATTGCCTCAACCCTCTAAATGCCAACAAAATGAATGAAAAACACCTATTGCTGTATGCAATTGGTTGTAGAGTTCATTGAATTAGTCAACCAGTATGTGTGTATTTGTGCATCTTGACAGATAGTGCATAATCACAACAATCTGACCCTAGAATTGAATAGAAGGAGATAAGGATTGGTCACATTAAGGAAATTTTGCCATAATTTTGATAATCTCAAACTGCATTCTTCCACAAATGTTCACCTTTCAAACATTAGCAATTCTTCTGGTGACATTCGTCATTGTGAATCATGGAATATTATGATCTTAAAATAATTAAAATTGCAGGTGACAAAAATATAAAATGAGTACATATAAGCTTTATCAACATATTAAATAATATTTGTAAAGTGTTATAGAAGACATCAACATAGATCTATATGATGAGAAAAGGAGATTAATCAGGAACATAGTAAGAGTGAAGGATTATACATACAACTCAAATATTACACTGATATCCACCAAATATTGAAAAAAAATAAAGACCTTCAGAATGATAGGTGAATTTTAATAAAGAATTTATGAAAACATATGAAAACATAGGATAAGAAGAAAAGGATGACATACCAGTGAGTCATTGAAGCATTAATGAATCGTACGTCCTAAAATGATGCTCAATAAGTAATGTTTAAATGAATGAGTGGCTGGGATCTTACAGACCAACTAGGTGAACTTTCTAATATTTCATATGGAAAAATTAGGGCCCAGAAGGGAAGGTGATTCACTTCCAAGTCACATCAACTGTGAGAGAGATTCATTGCTAGATGTCTTTGACCTTTTAATAGAGAATGAGCCAAAGTAATGTTGCTGAGAACCGGAATTTCAATTACCTCATTTCTTCAGTTGAAATACTTTTGCTCATTCCAAGGGATTTAGCCCCCAAATTATTTATGCATTCAATTATGTTGTTCCTGCAAACTTTCTGCTAATAGGCCCATGAGATGGCTACATCAAACCAGTATTTCTAAGTTCATCCCCCTGGAACTCTCTGAAGAACTAGCAGCACCAATAACTGAACAATAACAAAAGATTTCTCACAGGAATCAACCCTAAAAAGCTACACTTGAAACATCATGGGAATGGAAAATCTCACTTACTACCATAGACACCTCATCAGAGACATTTCAATGAATGAACGTATGAAAACCCTAAATATCAAAACATGAATAACTTTAAAGCAATGAGTACTATTCATCACACAGAACAAAAACATCAGGGAACAGGTCAGATACATCCTTTCTTTATGGCTATTCTCTGTTGATGACACTGACGAAGACAGGTTTTTCTTAACAAGTTTCCCTATAAAGTTGTTGAAGATGAGAGTGAGGTTCCATGAGAAGGCAGATATAATTGTGTTTAACAAGGTTGATTACTGTAAATTTAATGTGTTAAATCTGTGTGAGATATTTGTTCTTTATAGGCTAAGAGGCTGAGGTTGTGCCCATCAGGTGTTTGCTAATATAAGAAGGAGAAGGATTAAACATTTGATCAGCCTCTCTAGACTGAATCAAAACTTAAGAGTATTTCTAGGGTTCTATTCTGGACCAACTCCATTGTTCATAATCACTTCTAAGTGAGAGGGAATATAGAACTTTTAGGAGTAGGGCAAGGGAGCTGGAAAGGGAGCATCAAGAGGTTTTGGGCTTAGGAAGAATCATTATAGTTGCCTATTATAGATTTGGAAGTGGTCAAAAGAAAGGCAACAATTATAATTCTCAACTTTTCCCATTTCTACACTTTCCATTAATGCCTCATCAAAGCTTCAATCTATAAGGAGACGAATGTGAGGTGATTTCCTCTAATTCACATAGGTAGTAAGTGGCAGTCAAAATTCAAACCCAAGAATGATATATGTCTAAAGAACAGAAGTACAGTATAATCCAGGGCCAGGGGTGGTAATAGGCGAGCATACAGCAGAGAAAGCAGCAGGTTCTAGAAAGATTATAACAATAATAGCTTGTATTTACATAGTGCTTTAAGCTTTGCAAAGCACTGTATATATGTTAATAAGTTTACTGAATCTAGTGATGGTACCAACCCAAACCCAAACCCAAAGCTGAGGCAGAGATGAGGAAGGAGGCTGGGTATCTAGAAAGTTGGGTCAGCCAAACCAATCTTTGCCTAGAATTGCTTTTAAAGCAGGGTTCTCAACCTGGGGTATGTATACACTGGTGAAAAAAAAAAAGGCTTGGCAAAAGGATATGGGGGACATATGGTAGGTTACTGTATTATCTTGTTGAAATATTCCTCAAATAGGAGTACTCATGAAAAAATTTGGGCTGGACAATGAGGAAGCAGAAAGGGAAGAGACAGTTCAAGGAAATATTCCTACTGAACAAAACCCAGTGAATTAATATGAAATCCTTTTCATGTTGATCTCATGTTGAATTAGAAAAAAACAAACAAACCTGCAATAATACCTAGTGAAAGATAAACTAAGTGGTTTCTACAATAATCAGAAACTTTGATTTCTAATCAATGAAATCACAAAATTTTTGGCGTACCCTTGAAGAAGTAAGTATATCCCATTCTTACCAAAGGTACTCATAAGGCTTTAATTCCATTTATAACAACTTAGCACTGTGAATCAGGATTCTAAGCAAGTAACAAACTGGAAATGGATCATGAGATGCTGGTATCTCCATTTAAAGCTCTACCAAGAATATGGCTCTTGGTTAACAAGAAACAGAATCAGGAGACTGCTTATTTGACTCTGTTCTGTTAAATTTAGCAACTTTAGAAACTAAAATGTTTGTTTATTCTCGAATTGATTTCCTTTTATATTAACTAGGGAGTAGAGGTTTTACTGAAAGCCACTGAGGTAGAGGATTTAAAAAATTATGGATCTCTGCCCTAAAGCTCTGCTTTGTTTATATTCTTTAATCCATCAAAAGGTGGCTGCCTCATAGAAGGGAGGGTGCATTAAGGGGGGTAGTGTTTGGAAGCGAAACACACTTTTGATGAGGGACAGAGTAAAAAGAGAGAGAAAGAAGGATAAACAGCAGACAAAATAAAGAGGAAGGAAACAGACAGTTAACAGTCATAACCATGAATGTGAACAGGATGAATTCACCCATAAAATGGAAGTGGATAGTAGAATAAATTAAATACCAGAATCCAACAATAGTTGTTTACAAGAAACACAGAGTCAAAATAAGGGGCTAGAGCAGAATCTATTAAGCTTCAGCTGAGGTTAAAAAAAAAGGGTAGCAATCATGATCTCAGTTAAAGTAAAAGCAAACATTGGACTAATTAAAAGAAATAAGCAAGGAAACTACATTTTGCTAAAAAGGTATCAGACAATAAAGTAATATCAATACTAAACATATATATTAAACAAATGACATAGCATTCAAATTCTCAAAGGAAAAATTATATGAGTTACAGTAGGAAATGAATCTAATCATAAAATAAACAAGAAAGAAGTTAAGGAGATGAATAGAATAGAAAACTTA